TATGAAATTCTACCCGACATCGTACAGTTTCCGTACAATTATCCTGTTCTACGAGCGCATCAAACTGCCCTTGTCCGGTTATTAAGACTTAATCCCGTATTGTGTACCGCTTAAGCGCAACTGCAATTTTCCGGTAGCTCGTCCGTGGAGAAGCTAGCGAAGAAATGGGTCACCGAAAAAGGGGATGAAGGATCGGGAGGGGGGCTGGTATATCCGAAGGAATTCCGCGGGCTATTCAACGCGGGCACGGAGCGGTCGAATGTAATGTACAGGCGAGTCGCGCGCCTTTTCACGGGCGTCTATGCCGAGCGGGATCGTCGGAGAACAGGGCAACCCTTCATCGTTATTGCTCCGGGCCGGTCGGCCGATGGGGTGAGCGGACAAGCGTCCGAGCCGGGGGCTGGCCGGTGAGTTTGCCGCGTGTTTCCCGGTCGTCCGTCATTTTTAGTGGTCGGCCCTCGCTCGCCGAGGTATTAAATTATATTTCACGTTGTGATTAACGGTCCCGGGATGTATTATTAAACTGTAGGACCCCGCGCGACGTGGAATCCTTGCCGGACAAGACGGCGCATCCCCTATTTGCGGCCGGAGCGACGCGCGCTCTCTTCACCCTCGGCTTTCCTCCTTTTATACGGCCGGCCCTTCTCGCCCGTGCTTCCTGGTGAACCTTTATTGCCACATACTGCGTTCATAAAAGTACCCGGAAGACTGGAAGAATGGACGATGGATCGCCCGGACACGGACTGCGTCGCGAACGTTCGATGGGACTCGTTGAATATGAGTTCTGCGGCGAGTAGCGGATTCCTTTTATAACTGGGGATATTGGACCGTTTGTAATTCTCTGTTTAGTAATTCTGGTGGTATGTAGACCTCTTTTGCACTGTTAAACAGAATCGTTCGCCGGTGTTTGACGTTTCGTTTGGTATAGTTCGAGCGCGATATTGGAAAGAATCGTATTAATTGCTTGGCAATTTCAGTGTTAACGCGAAGAGCAACAAACGGATCCTGTAATTAACCGAATCGACAGCGAATGCAGACGCTGCATTTGCTGGGTAAATCGAGATGAGTTCTTTCCGTCGGAAACAACCGTACAGGAAACTCGCGCTGCCGAGTCTTTGTAAATAATTTCTCTGCACGGGAACACCGTGGTCTTTATTTTCGGAGTTGCTCGTGAACGTAGCGGCGGTTTTGACTTTAAATGATATCTAAATAATTCGCGGCTCGCACGGTGCACGGATAAACGTTCGTTAGAGGAATGAGGGAACGCCGCGAAATGAGCAACTCGATACACGCCGGTGTTTTAATTTTAACGATCCGTGAATATCGCGGGCTTAATGCGCTCGCGTCGTAACGGAATACGCGTCGGGAACTGAAACGTTTGTTCGTTTCGAAGAGGCGAGGAGATACAAGGGGAAGATTAGGGAGAAAGCGCGGAGGAGAGGAAAATAGAGAAGATAGAGAGAATAGAGCGAAAGAGAAATAAGACGGGGGAAAGAAGGAAAGAGAAGCGAGAATAGCGAGAATAGCGAGTAGAACACAGAATAGAAAGAAAAGTGACAAGATAGAACTAGAATGGAGCGAAGAAACGAAAGTGAGTCACAGGAATGGCATTCCGAGGCTGCCATCGCTGACGATCATAGATACCGTTGGTAATTTCACGTACAAGAGAGGAACAGAGAATCCAGAGGAGAGAAGAACGAAGGAGGACGGAATTGGAGGAGATCAGAGAGGGAGGGAGGGAAGAGAGAAAAAACGAAAGTGAAGCGTAAGAGTGGCGTTCCAAACGAAAAGTTTCCATCGTCGACGACCATAGAAACTTTCAGTAATTTCACCTGGAAGCCACCCACGACTGCCTGCCGCTGACAACTTACATAGAATCGCGTTTGCAGGGAACGTGTGCTGTACACACGATTTCACCGTCACACAATTTACACTTGTCCGAGCTATTGACAAGGGAAATTTTACGTCTCGCGGCATTTCACTGTGGAATTCGAGGCCGTGACTGGACTAGACGTGAACACTCAGTGTAAACTTCGTTAAAACCGTTCATTTCTCTTCTTTACAGGGTTTCCCTTTTCCTGTATGGCATTTTCAGGTTACCGTTACTACTGACCCTCTCGTTACTCTGTATTATGGATTATTTCAAGTTGGAATAGTCAATTACAATTAACCTTTAACCAGTTAACTGTGTTTGACGAGTATGCACGTCATAAAACTCTTAATGGTAACTTTTTCAACGATGGATTATTTATCTTTTGAGACAAACATGTAATTCTTCTTCGTCTCGCTTTAGTTTTTCGTTAGGATATATTTTAAGTTCATTTCGCCTGCATTTAACGAGTATACACTTCATTATTTGATTTTATTGCGCATAATGAGAAATTTTTCAAACTAAATTCCACACTTAACTAGTTAATGTCATTTCTAGAGTGCACTCGCTAGAGAGCTCATAGATTTCTAACAAAGAATGAAACCTTGAAAATTCAATGAAAACTTCGTTTTCCTTTGACATTGGTGGTTTAATCTTCATCATAAATTAACTACTGCGATGGTAAGCTTCCCTCGCTGAGTTTCTGGTCGTGGAACACTGTAGTTCTTTATTGGTGACCGGGGTTCACCGGATTTTTCTCGGTAGCGGACCGATGACAAACCACCGTGCGTGTCTGCGTGAAGTTTTACGGCGAATCTAAGTTAGGGGTTGCCGCGGAGCGATAGCGTAGGGGTAAGTTCGGATCGTGCGGCAGGCAATTATACGCGAAAACGTGTACGCGTATATTAAGCGGGCGTACTGGCTACGCTAATTGCATTGTTTCCCCCAGCCAACGTGTATCCTGCCGTGTAATTTATAACTTAGGAAGAGGTCGTAAAGGGAATCGTTACTAATGACATCGTAAAACCGATACAGGCGTCGTGTGTTTAACGTGCGTCCCGACCGTTTGAAATATGAACGAACGACTTCCGTTTCAGTTAAAACGGCCCGCCTTCCGGTGGACCGAGAAAAGCCGCGCTTCCACGATTAAAATTATATCGAATCGCCGCGGCGCGTTTAATCCCCGCGAAAGAATCATCCGTGCGAACCGTTCGAGCTTTCTCGAACAGCTAGCGCGCCGTATTAATATCTATATTAAAACAGTTCGGAATAGAGACCACTAGAGAAAAAAAGAAAGGAATCAACGTATTCCCGTTATATCGTCTTATTCTTTCAACCTCCGTTCTTAACCGTAGGATCCTCGAAATGTTCGTGTCTCTCGTCTTTCGAATAACAAATTTCTAGAACACAATTTCGCCGTATCTTTCCTACGGATTGAATTGAACTCGGGCAGAAATATTTACGATGGAAATATCGAAAGCTTTAACGAAGAGAAAATGCAACAGGGCTGAAAAAAATCTTTCGATAGCTCAGCGGAAAATTGAATTACACAGAGGTATCGGTTTCAATAAGTTCCGCGGGGGTTGTACGGATTTATTTGTACCGCTATATTTTCGTTTAAAATGCTGGATTGATGGAACGGCCTGGGTTACCAGGTTAAAAGTAGACACAGAAAAGGTTTCCACTGTTGCGGAGTAAGTTTTACCGCAGAGTTCCGCGGAAAACCACGGGAACAGAATTACGAGATGGACAGGCGGAGGCGAGAATCGATTAATGGGTGAACTGCCAATGCGGTTTCACGGCAAGTAACGGATATACACCGTGGGTCAAAATAGTTTTTAACCGCTTCGATGGTCGTCAGCTGAAATTAGAGTTCCTTCGTTCCGCTCCGCTCATTAACGCGGCGCAATGCATTTTCATTATTGGCCTACGTTATTTCGGAACATAGATGAATCGGGTAAATCCGGTGATTAAGCTTTCCTTTGCGCCGGTTTCAAATTATTCACTGAACTCCCCTGTCGGTACGAAATTGATAATTTCCAATGAAAAGTATAATTCATAGCTAATGTACTGAACTCTAATATTAACGATATTATCGCAATCAATGCTGCGTTCGCTATCCTGTGGGCAACATTGAATTGACGTATAGCTTCGTATTCAGGGAGAGATATTAAATGAAATAAAATTCGTTAGGACTCGCGAAGCTTTTATACAGGGCTCATTAAGTATGCAATATATTTCATTGTGAAATCAGAGGAAAAGCAGGGAAAGTGAACTGTGGCGGTGTCCAGCAGACACTGCGGCAACTTTTCACTGTGAGAAATCTTTCTAGCGATTGAAACGAAATTTTGCGGCGAAGAAAATGATTCGGAAAATGTAATGTAATGGCAGGACGAGAGGAATTTGTCTGAAAAATCTTTAGAATCTTTCGGCTGAAGAAATGAAGCTCTAAATGCAGCAAAAATGTTGCGTTGAAGATTAATTCGCTAAGAAATGTTACATTTTAGATTTACATTTTCTATTTCTGTTAGAATTAGAATCTCATAACGTGATTAATGCGAATTACTTTAATAATTTAACGTTAGTGTTGGAAAACAAAATGCTGGCGCCATCGAACGACGAGAACGCGAAGCAATATATGGATTCAACCGACGAGACAGACGTCGGTAATTTAATTCAAACCGATCGATGTAGGGGACGACCATTTAAATATAATAAATACATATAAAAAGGAATCTGCATTGTAAAATATATATTCCTTTACTAAATTTTCCATCAATTTTAATCAAACAGACAAGTTATATTTCGAAAAAAACCAATTGTTCATTATCCACTTTTTCCACCGTTTTCGATTTTCTCTTTCTCCATCTACTTCTTATCATTCTCCTCTTTTCCCATTGTTTTTCATTTATTCGCTCTTTCACACTTTATCATCTATTTCTTCTTCCACTTACTGAGTTAGATGATAAATAGTGGGAGATGCTGATTATTTATTAAGATATAATAATGCTTAAGCTTCCAACAATGGAATTGATTTAAAGCTAGATAATCAATACTGTAGGCACAGATAAACTAAATTTGGATTCAGTTACGATAAAATAAAAGTTGACAGATTCGAATGTGGCGGGTAACCTGTAACACGTGCAGACGACAATTGTCACGTGTGTTTATAACCTCAAACAGTGATATATAAACGCAATTTAAAAATGCTCGAAGATTACTTGTTAAAATGCCATCGGGAGCAGTTGGAAGAAATATTGGATGCAATGGATGTTAATATTTTTTACTCGATCTATATAAAGTAAGTATTTCCGCGTAATTCCAAAGTGCACAGATTTCAAGGTCACCGGTCTTACAGCTTCGTGTCGTTATTCGAAGATGACGTCGAAGTGGCACAGAAAATACTACAACGTCCTAGATATTATTTGCCACTTTGCGACGAAGGCGCTGTAAAAGCGCAGGAAGAGATAGCAAAACCAGAGCAACTTGTAAAACGAAAAGTAATTACATCGAATACAAGTAGATCTATCTCGCATTGCAATAGCATTCTGATATTCAGTTATTCTAATTACTTTCTGTTGTTGCTTCCTTACATTTCAACTACACTGATTAGGTTCACGTCAGAGTTACCGCTGTACCTTTCACAGTGGACCAATGTCCAATCGGTCAACTAGTCTCGATAAGCGGTATCGCGGTAAGGGTGTCACAGCCGACAGTGCTAAAGGTTGTTCAAAGATACAACTGCAAGAAATGCAAGCATATTACCAAGTTAAAAGTTAGTAGAATACATTGTACACCTTGTGTAACTTTCCACCGATCAGTAGCTGACAGATCGCCCGATTTCAGTACGAATGGGAAACACAAAAATTCACGGACATTACAGACTGCGAAGAATGTCAAGCACCGAACATAAAACCCCTCACAGGTTTCGACGTAGAGGACTCGTCGGATTGCCAGGAATTAAGAGTAAAAGTATATTATCTCACCGTATCTTAAACCTTATCGTAACCTTTGTAATCCTCACTAAGAACGCATTCTTGATTAGGACAAAAATAAAGTAGATAGCACTAGGTCTTTCACCGAAGAACTGCAGATCATCTTGCTGGACGACTTAGTAGATAAATGTATACCTGGAGATAACGTTGAAATCAGGTGAACAATTGTTACTTGTCGCTGCAAGAATATTCGATCAATTGCATCTGGTATTTAATCGATTATGTACAATCGTAGCGGAGTAATCGTGAGGGTGTGGGGACCATTAGAAGTCGGCGAACGTTTAGAAGCAACCACCATTATGTTAGCGAACAGCGTCTCGGTGAGACGTAAAGTGTCCGAGACGTTTTCCAGTCAGTCGATGAAAGATCTATTCAAAAAATACTGGGAACAAAACAGCGACAATCCTCTGATCGGCAGAGACAATATCGTAGCTTCGATTTGCCCGCAATTATACGGGATGTACTTGGCGAAACTAGCGTTAGCAGTCGTCTTAGCTGGCGGCGTCTCGAAGTCCAACGAAGGTAGTAGTCATTTATCAACGCTATCTTGTTTATTACATTATGAGTACAAAAGCACAAAACGTATACGTAAAAAATAAGGAACTCGAGTACGAGGCGAACCGCATCTTCTCTTGATCGGTGATCCTGGAACGGGGAAGTCCCAGTTGCTCAAAACAGCGTCCCGCCTGGCTGCCCGGTCGGTTCTGACAACTGGCATCGGATCAACCGCTGCTGGACTTACGGCAACTGCTGTCAGAGTTAGTCATCGTTCCGTGAGAACCTTCACTCGCAATTACTCATTCCAAATACAACCCATTTTCTCTCTTCTATTCCGAATTACAAAACCTTAAGGTCGACGATCTCGTGTTAGACCGGTCGCACACTTACGAGTAAGATTAATCAAGACACAGCACGAAAGCATGAATGAAATACCGAAATAAAATAAAAACAAGACGAGTACATTTCTAAGATCTTAATATTAAATAAAATCGAACAGTAACACTGGTACAGATTAAAATCGAATAAACATAAAAAGCAAAGACACTCAAGTGTCTGACAAAACGTCGATAGAATATCAAACAAACGCGATCGAACAGGAGCAATGATGAAATATACTTGTAAACAGGACTCAAACGGATGGCACTTGGAAGCCGGAGCGTTGGTGTTAGCCGACGGTGGCGTCTGTTGCGTGGACGAGTTCACGACAATGAATTCCCAGGACAGGACCTCGGTGCACGAGGCTATGGAGCAGCAAACCATATCCATTGCGAAAGCTGGGTTAGTCAGCACTCTGAATTCGAGGTGCTCGGTAATCGCGGCGATCAATCCAAGCGGCGGTCGGTTCGACGACGACGAAGAATGGGAAACGAAATTGGGGGATCCCCTGATGTCGAGGTTCGACTTGATACTGCTGTTAAAGGACAACAGGAACGAGGAATGGGACAGGCTGACGTCGGATCACATTCTGAAAGCTGCCTGCGAGAACAACGAAGTCCCGGCGCCAATGTAACCGAGAGCTAACGGTTCCTTTAAAAAAAAAAGAAAGTCATTCCGATTAAATAAATTCCTCGGTTCTAGCTTTCGTTCCGTTTTAACAGGGAATTGAACAAATACATCGAGTCGTTGGACACCGACGGAGTGTGGAAGGAGGACGCGTTGCGGGAATATTTCGCTCACGTTCATTCTTTGCAACCGGAGATGACTAAGGAAGCCGAGCTGGTGCTTAGAACCGCTTATCTTTATCACAGATCCCGCCCGGGAAGAAGGGAAGAGCGAACGACAGTGCGATTACTTGATAGTCTTATCAGGTAGAAAGAATGTAACGTAATTTATTACCCGTTGAATGACTCTCTACTTTTGAATTCGTTGATTGAATACGTCGAGGTAATTCGTTCTTTGTGCTTGGTATTACGGTGCTTGAATGGCACTTGTTACTTGGTTGATACCTCGCAGGTCTAGCGAGGACAATTTTTCATTAAATTCAACGAATGTTACTAAGTACTTCTGGTTACTCGAAGTCAGGATTAAATGTCTATAAACGTAGATTCGAAAGAAACATAGAATTATTGTTTATTAGAATAAATAATTACGTATAGTATAATTCTAATGCGAAGAATTATGAAAGAAATGGCAAAGAAAGAGGTTAACAGGTTAAAATAATTATAATTGTTCTTTAGACTGGCGGAGGGCCACGCTAGGCTGATGTACAGATCGAAGGTTGAACTGATGGACGCCATATTTGTGGTTAAGTTAATCGGTACAGGACATTCGTCTAAGGCTGATACTGGAGGCTCATTTCCGGAGGATCCGATGGCAACATATCAATCTGAAGGTATACATTATTCATTCCTACAGAGTTTAAACAAAATAATCGCACCGAAGGAAAGATCAAGGCTATTTCTAATTGCAGGTAGAATAATACTGAGAACTATTGGCCTGGAACAACTGGAGAATCTACTGTGAACGGTTGTGCTTCTAAGTTCCTGCGAAATACTCGATCCGAACGGAAGAGATGGTCTCTGTGTGTAAACTAAATCTTTTATTTGTCACTTAAGTCTCTCTTTTTTTTTATATACTCGCTTACATAAGTACAAATACACCAGCATATTTATAAAATTTAAACAACCATTTCCTTCCTGTTTGTACAAAACGAATTTACTTTGTTGCTCATCGCCATTCAATAAATATGTGGTCAATCATTAGAATGAATTTAAACATCGTGTAAAAATAGATCTCGCGACAGCAGGATCTGTTTGATACCAGTCTCGACTAACAACGAGGTCCTGGAACCGTCCGCGTTCCCAGTTTTCCCTTTCTCTCGTTCCTCCCAGGCAATTATACTTGATACACAGCGATCCAAGTCGACTCGAGACGATCAGACATACACCCGGTTAAAGTAACGGCAACGATCTAACCCAATGTTCCCGTAGTCTATAAATAACGTATCGTTCGTTAATAAATAATGAAAACATGCGAGATCGTTCCCTCGCGGGAACCTTAAACCTTTACAAGAGCGATCGAACATTATATCAAGGATCTGAATAACAAGTAGCTTAATAAAGAAAGGCCATATATTACACATTTGTGAGGAATGTCACAGGACGAATGTCGTCGGAGGGAGTAGATTAAAAGGACATCGACATTTTCATGTATAATAATAATTCATCATTAAATTAACGATTAAATCGGTCAACAATATTGGACAATTATAAACTCTATACTCGTGGACACGACTGTTCCAATTATTTGCGTTCTCTTTCTTTCTTTCTTTCTCTCTTTCCTTCTCTCTCTCTTTTTGATTTTCAGCAAAAACCGAGGTGCGTTTCCCGTTCGAGAAAGCCGCGCGCGCGATCATCGGAGCACATCGTGAACAGGTGCCACTAAAATACAAAAGCTAGCAATCATGTAATAGTTATGTATATAAGAAGCAATAATATAAGAATTAGTGATATGATGGTTAATAGCTGACACGCCCGTGTGAACGGGCTAGTTAATGTTTCCGCGACTGGGTCCGTCGCGTGACGACGCGAACGAAAAAGAACAAACGGGGACGATGCGTACGCGTCGTAGAACCGGCGCATATACATACACACGCACACTCGCGCACGGCCAAAACCAACCACAAAACAAACACGCGGACGCCGGTACATCGATCTGGATTTGGAATACTGTTAAGAAACGAGAAAACAAAGACAAGGGTACAGCTGTTAATCGTTCAAGCGGTCGTAATCGCGAATATCATTTCAATAAATAACGCGAAACGATCTCCCGTTTCGTTCCTCAATTTTTTCTTCTTTTCTAATCTTTTCGTTTTGTTGTAACTCGACGAAGATAGCATGCACGGTACAATTCTAGAAAACACAAACACGGTCGATCTAGGGTAGGTGCTATAGCTTCTCGATGAAAGAATAGACTTCCCAGCGGGAGGCAGCAGTTAAGTTATTACGTGTGCGACGCACGTTTTTTTTTCTTTTCTTTTTTGTTTGCGCATCAGTAACTAGGTTCTCTATTCGGTTTACTGAACGGCAAAAGATGCCAGGATACCTGAAGAGTGGATCCTGAAGAGCGTCGCGATCGCTTTAGTAACGGGGTTGGGTAGCGGCGTTCGACATCTGAGCGCGGACGGTGCTCGCCGCGCTTTGCACGTGCTCGTTGCGCAAGAAGGTTGTTGCGAACTCCTGTTGTGCTTTCAACACGCTGGCTTCCGACGAACGGTAAATACGATGGATCTGTACAAGATATTTTGTGTTATTATAGGACGTTTCCGTGAAAAGCGACGCAATCGAAGGTTTTCGTCTCTGCGTAGGCTAGGTGTCCAGTTAAATACTCTTAGGAGGACTACTATTTAGAGTACTATCAAATTGTGCACTCATCGTGTACTATAGCTACTTTGAGAAGCACTGAGATATTTGGTTAGAATTTTAATTATCAGAATTCGAAAATAGTTCGTATTCTCATAGTAGCTCTGCTAAAGTAGTTGATGTTCTGGGATGGCGACTCTAGTGAAATTTCAGGTAATTTTATTTTTGAAAGGATACCTAAGTGCCTTTCAGAATTGAGGACATCATTAAACTAGCAAAGAGATGAAGGTTTTTCGTAGGACTTAAAATTTATTGTTGTACTGGTCTGTGATGATAGCTTCTATAGTTCTTAGTAGATTGACGTGATTTTACTGTAGCCACTCTGAGATTTCAGTACGTATTGTATATCATTTTATCAGTTTGATGTGATAAACATGATTATCGTATTTACTTTTTACCGGAATGAAATGTTCGTGAACATAACCTAAGTGAAACTTCGAATCTGATTTAAAAGTAAATTGAACCCAATTCTGAACCTAACCCAAATTTAATCAAGTTGGAGGAAGGAAGAATGATTAAAGAAAGGATTTTTTATGATTATGAAGTGAAAATGGCGAGGGAGAGACTACGGAGTCTGCCTAGATCGGGGATTCCCACGCTGAGTCACTAGCCCGACTTAATGGCGACTCTACTGTCTAAAGGAAAATTCTATATACAATCGAAAACGAAGAAAAATAGTACGAAAAGCCAAAGAAATGTTTGTAGAACATTTGATTGAAGATTAATGTCGCTATAATTGTAAAAAATTCATCACAGATCCATTTGAACATCTTATAAAGTGTATTAACTTGGGGTTTCCAGTTTAACGACTTTGGATGTTTGAAACCCCATTTTCTTATGGAATGCAAAGAATAGATAAATATTTGTTGGAATGTACCGTACCTTAGTCAACAATAAAAGATCGCCGGCAGCAGCCGCGGCGAAACAAAGAGCTACGAAGAGTAGCAAAAGCCCAACGAAAATTCCCGAGGCCGATGAATCGAACATTCTAATAGCTGTTATTATACCGCTAGAATGACAGAAATTGATAATTAGAATACAATTAAGAACTGTAGTCGTATAAAATGGATCTCGTAAAAGATCGAAGCGTTACCAAGTTCCAGCGCCAGGAATACCAATAGCCTGGATGGCTGTGACGATTAATTGAAAGAAGAACACGAAGAAGAATACCATAAAGTTGAACGAGCTGTCATGCCTGGAAAATAAAAATGATTTACATAATACTTCGAACGTTATAACGTCGATGTAGAATCGAATACGTACTGGAAAGCTCTGTAAGCTGGTCTGAACCAGCACAGAAACGAGAACGGGGTAAACAGAATAAGGTATAATATTCCGAGACCGAACGTCGAGAATTCCCCGTGACTTAATAACAGCACGAATCCACCAATGACATTCAAGACCATTACACAGCCATGGACTATAATTAAAAGCAAAAAATATAACGATCGTATTTACGAGAAATTATTAGTATTACGATTCATTCCGATGCATTCAACTTACACATCCACAATCTGTACAATTGCTTCACTGTGGTCTGAAAATCTGTATGAATTTCCACCTCAATATCCTGGTAGAAGCACGGTTGGAAGCAGCACTTTTCAGGCAACGGTGGCCAGTTCCGCTTTGCTTAAATATTAGGATATTCTGATTGATACGCAATACAGAAGCAACGATTTGCTATATATGTGATTTCTAGTAATTTCACTCACGATAGTAGGCAGAACTTCTCATATCTTCCTCTGTCCTCGCTTTCCATTCTGGTTCTGGCCTTTGCTAAAAGCAGGATTTCGCAGAGATACAATTATAAAGAAGTTATTTATAATAAAGTACCACCGAACACAAGATTCGATAAAAATTTACATCTAATGGAGGAGAGATATTGCTTCCAAGGGCTGCAGTGACGGTCTGCTGTGGAGTACGCGTGTATGGAGGTGGTGGTGTCTCCGGATTAGAAGTCTGAAGTATAGCTGGTTGCTGTGTTGAACCAAGCCCTCCATAAAGTGGAGGATTTGATGCACCTCTGACCTGTGCAGTCCCCTGCGAACCTTGCTCCGCAAAGGGGTTGTAGTCCTCTAAGCCTCTGCTGGCTGGAGTAGAAGCAACAGCCCTCCTAATTGAAGGATCCTAATAAAACAAAAGCAATAAATGTACTAAGGATCTCTTCAAAAACAATTCCCATAGATAAAAATATTTTCAATGCTGAAAAGATGACTTAGCACAAGCAAGGAATACATATTCATATATAGGAATATACATACATGTATATATATATGTATATATAAAACTTAAAGTCACACAAAAGACTTTCTTAATATAGACAAATACAAATTGGTAATTAAATGACCAAATGCGATATATATATATATTAATATACAGTTTACTCCAAAAATTTTCCATCATTTTTTCTTGGTACAGATAAGGCACGCATATATAGAGAAGTAATTGAAATTACTGGGCGCAATTAATAGATATATGTCGAGGCGCGTTAAAAGCGCGGATTAGTCATCCCCGGGAAAATTCGTAATTCAATTATATATATTTAATTTCCATTTGACAGTTCAGTATGCAATATTGAACGTAACAGTGGTTGCATCCGATTAAATACTCACCGAAAACGGATCATTAACGTTCGGCTCCCCGAAGGGATTCTCGTCGAAGCCAGACATCCTATTCACCGTCCGCCGAGCCGCGCTCCAATGTACCGTTGAAAATTAATAAGACTTTAACACACTCAAAATAATCTTATCTAAACCCGTCTATACTTGATGATCCATTGCGCTGCGGTTTCATACGGTATCGCCGGCACAATAGCCGTATCGCTTATCATTTACGGAGAAACTGCTGCCACGTCTATCATTACTCATATAAAGGTCGATTCACAGAACCGAATCGCCGCTTAAATATCGTCCTCAAGCCGACAGACGAGTCGGCGAAATTGTCCAGAAGAAAAAACACTATTCTCCCGGTCGAAATTCGGATTCGAGATCGTTTAAATTTGAAAACTTTCACCTCGACGCGATCAAATTTAAGTTCACCCGATCAAGCAATAGGAAACGTGCGCAGTTTCATTTCGGAGCGCTACCTGTGATGCGGCTCGCACAAACGCGAAACCAGTTTCAGACGCAAGTTTATACCTGACCCAGACCTAACCCGGGACTCAACGCAGGAATACTCCACACCGCATAGTCTAACATTGACCTGGCTAAGGGAGAATGAACATGGAGTTCCATTTCGGAGCGCAATCCGAAATACTGCCGGCACAGGCGCAGAATGGTTTCGGAAACAGAAATTTCATTGAAGATTGTCGTTTCTTTGTACTCCTTACTTTTCCCTCGATGTATTTATTATTATTCTGTAGAGAAATCACGCTTCGCTTGATGTTTGTTCATTTTGAAGCTTGTCCAACCGGGATTCTTCTAGATCAACTGAAACGCGCATGAAAAATACGAAATTATAGGGTTTACGGCTAATATTTATAAAGGAAAATGTATACACTTGGAAGAGAAGCAAATAAATGCAATTATATCCAGATAATGTGTTCATTTTAATGTTCGAATAACTCACGATGCAGATTTAAATTATCGGAACTGTTTAATTTAGGGATAAGAAACAGCATGGAGTCCAGAAGAAAGATTAATAATATTGATCTTATGAATCAATTATTCTTGCAGTCTGCATAGGATTGTTAGATATCTATGACAACAGAGCCCGATGCGAGAAGAAATATAACATCCTTCCCGTACTGGTGTAATTTTCTTCCACCCTTATCCCTCAATCTTCACCCTAGCTAATTAGAAACGTTTGATTCTCATACGGCGATCGATGAATCTCTGGATTATCCGAATAATTCAATTACTAGTTATTTTAAAGACAGCTTGGGGGTGGTTTTACTTAACCTTAGAGGTCACGGCGGGGGTGGAATGAAACGGAAGCGGTTCCGTAGTCAGTGAACCTGACGCAGGCGCAATCAGTGTGATAGAACAATAGATAAAGTAGTGTAATGGTATCGGGAGTACCAGTCGCTATGCGCTTACCCCAGTACGTAAAGTGCTTTTTTGCATTGATCATTACGATCTGTCGTGCGTTCCTCAGCAAGGAGAACCGTTGGAAGAAAGTACTCCTCGAATTATCGAACGCGATCGATAGGGAGAGACGGGGGTGGGATTCGGGGGAGATTTAAATTTTGACGGCGATGAGATGGATGGGGAGCGCGTGATCATTTTTAAACATGTAAGTGAGTCCCATTCTAAACACGAGCGAATCGAATTTCGAAAACAAGTAAATCTTAAATCAAACTTATCATCAAAATTTCAATAGTATTCAAAGGAATTATTCGGAAGTTATCTGGAAAGTATGTGTAAAAACTCTCGCGTGATCATATTTAAACATGTAAGTGAGTCTCATTCTAAACACGAGCGAATCGAATTTCGAAAACAAGTAAATCTTAAATCTAAATTATAATCAAAATTTCAATAGTATTCAAAGGAATTATTCGGAAGTTATCTGGAAAGTATGTGCAAAAACTCTCGCGTGACAGTTAATTAAGAGAAGAATGAATCGATTCAATTATCCTGCCGTGATACGGGGACATTTTTAATTGGTTCGAGAATAATGGATATTTTAAGAGAACCGGTAGAGATTAATGGTGAATTAAAGGTACAATGGGACGGTTGCAGAATGGATGTAACTTCACTGGTACCGGCTGGTCTTCTCGCGGGTCAAGTGGACCTGTTCGAGGTGCAAGCCGGTTACAATAAATTCTCCGAAAACTTGCGAAGGTACACGCCGCAGGCAATACAGTGCGCGATCTTCTGCGGTGGATCCAGATGCAAGTATGAGAATCCGAAAGCCTGGCCGCCGGTGCACATGGCGATACAGAACATCTTTTCGCATTGGTAAGGCTTCCATAGAAGTTCGTAACCGTTTGTGTATTTTATCTTCGTTTACATTTATATTAAACATTTCGTCGGTATATGAAACGCGATCGATGATCACAAGATGATTTCATTGTGACTATAATAAATTGTGTAGACACTCGATTGAATTATTGAACGATCCATTAATTCTTCAGCGAATCGATAGTATCGCATTAATGCGAGATGAAATTTCTTAATTTTCATCGGATAAAATGTCAGGATAATACTGTGAACAAAATTGCTTTCACATCCTATGATTGATTGACTGCCATGCACGGTTATTTGCTAGTTCCATTCTAATTGCCTCGGAAAAGTCAATCGATCATAATTACGAGACCATTAGCTTCCCCCTACGAATAGATAAAATTAAACTCAATGCCACGTGACGGAATATATAACATTGTTAAATACATGTATGAGAATGACGTAAGATCGGCTGCTGGCATCGATTTTCCGCCAAAATGCTATTAAATATACAATGACAACCACAGGTTTACCGTTCTAAATCGCCTCCGTCTTGTCCCTTCGTTTTTTTCCGTTGAATCCTGGAAGTCGAAGGGTTGTGCAAGGTTCTAAAAGCTGATCGTTCTATAGGGTGACCGACGACGTGCTCGCGATGGCACGGCCGAACACCGAGCAAATCATAAAGAAAGACATAATCGCGCAATTCCAAGGGTGGAGTATAAAAACCATAATAAACTTGCAAACGCCGGGCGAGCATGCGAGCTGCGGCGGCCCGCTCGAGGAAAGCGGTTTCACTTACGACCCCAACGTCTTCATGAGAAACGGCAGTAGGTATTAAACCGTTGATACTTTTAAGCATCCCGCGTTGCTACTAAAATACAACCAAACAGTCGCCAGTATATAAAGAAGCCGGTACACGCTAACGACTTTTTTAAACTAAAGTTTCCTCCACTGGATTCTACAGCGCTCAATTAATGTATATTTCATCCCTTCCACTCTAAACTTTCATTCTCTCCCTCTACATTCCATCCTTAACCCTTTGAACTCTTGCTCCAATATTGCACCAGTTATAATATTAAATACTTTAATGAATCTTAAAGAAACTACCCTAAAATCATTTTCCGCAGATCCAAATTTTTTACTAACAAGGAAAATAGAAGATCGAAGAACTGCATTTCTGATTTTCGCTAGTAATACTATAAAAATTAGTAGCAGTTACTGATAGATTACAAAACAACCTAAAAATTAACAGATCCATCGTGATTCAACGAGAATAAAACACCTCTGAATCCTGTATTCCCCAGGCAGAGCTACGCCTCGCCATTCACAATGTATTTTCATCCCCTTATTTTTATCGCGCAATATTATTGGCATTGATTGCTTGTCGCCGTCGAGAGAAGTGTGCTAGACCAGTCGAAAATAGAATGTCGATGGTGAACGATAGAATGTCTCTTATCGTACGGGAATAGTAGCTGCTTAAGAATGAAATTGAGTCGCGCGAGGGGGTTGCTTTGTCCTTGCGCGTGAAGCTCGGCGTCTGGCTCCCAGATCGAAGAAGTCGGGACATGCAATGCAGCAAAATCATCGCTGTGTCTATGCGGAGGAAACGAAAAGTTTCTGGGGGGCTGTAGACTGGCAACCGTGAAAACGTTCCCCGCCCGTCGGGGGGTGGGAAAGTTTCGTTCAAGGCCTCTGAACGGCACGTTCTCTCCGATCTGTTGCAGTTTACTATTACAATTTCGCGCTGAAGGACTACGGGGATGCGACCATGGGCAAGCTCCTGGATATGGTCAAGGTCGTGGCTTTCGGGGTGCAAGAGGGACGAGTCGCGATCCACTGTCATGCCGGTAAATCGATCCTTTCTCTTTCTTTTTTTCGACTAAACAGATGCATCGACCCGTTCCCACCGCAGCTTTCCAGCGGCTCATTAGAGGCTATCTTTCGAATCTCTGCTCGCGTGTACGTGATCCCGTGAAATTGTTGCGTCGGCCTTGGCGAGGAGTATTCGATCTAACAACCTAATCGTTAGCTGTTTTAATTTATTATTTATTGGCCGTGCAGAACTGTTTGAATAGGGTGAAAGTGAGGGAATGTTAAAATGAGAATGGATACGTTTGCTTCTTCGGAGAGTGTGAACATTGGATAGCTTAGTAATTTTTCTGCGTTTGATGCATTGGTAAATCGTATTACATTGTATGCGATAGATAAGAAATTGATAGACTTTGATTCGATATATATTCTCAGGATTTCAATCGGATATTTGTTGGCAACGGTAGCGAAGAAGTTAAGGATAAGTTTTGTTAGGGACAGCATGTATGCATAGATTCCGGTGCACTCTTATCGCGGCCCTTTAATTCGGGCAGGTGATCAAAGTTTCACGTTTCCTCCTTCGCGCCCTGTTATCAGCGATTTGTAACCTTTAAATGTATCGATCTAAGGACACCAGTTTCACACGTTCCACCGACGCGATACCGCTTTTGGTGCATTGCGTGCCGCAGGACACGGCGTCAAGTTGATGCATCGGAATTTTTGCATTTCTTATGCATCGCATCGGCTCCCTTGAACTCTCGAGTGAATCGCGGCCGCAGAAATTTCAGATAAAGATGCAAATTGGAGAGATAAGCGTGTGATCGAAGGCGATCCCGTTTGGCTGCATAAATCTTCCATCGTTTTAACATATTCGTACCATTAAGAAGCCGAACCTCCTAATTTCTAAACATTTTCGAAGCGGCTTCCAATTTGAATCAACTATCAACGATTCATCGTAGAACGTCGAATGAATTCACGTATAAATACACATCAGACCTCCGTGTTAACGGGAGTCATAACGATTAGCAAACGCAAACGGCGGCGTTTCAATGAATAATTACAGAAGAAAATTCACAATTTATTACTCACTTACGCTACCATGACCGATGTCGGCTTATCGACGTCAAAGCGTGTTCGCCAGCTATAAACGCAGCCAGTTCAATTCCTTAAGAGAATTTACGTGCACGAAAAATAGATAAGGACGGATAAGGAATTGGGGCGTAACTGCGGTTCTATTTACGAGCGGTGCACGACGGGAATCCGTCGAAACTCGGAAGTCGTTGGAAAACGTTGGGAATGATTCATAAAACCGCGGAGATCCCGGCCGGAGATACGGGTCGCGCGCGCACGCAACGGAGAAGTTCAGAAACCCGAGCCGCCGGCTCGATTAAGATCGATTGATCGGTTATTGGAGGAGCGGTGCATACTTAGCAGTCATGAAACTAACATGTCCCTCATATTTATTGGACAGTCGTACGGACGATGTGCACTCAGGGCCTCCGGGAATTACCCACGCGTGCTTATTCACCGGCGGACACGAAACAAAGTGTATACTCGCGGAGGAAATCGCGAGCCGAATGATTTATATCGCGAGTTTCTTTCGGTTGAGCATGAGACGCTGACATTTATCGGGCGGAATAGATCGCCGGCGTTGTAAATTCTTCGCTCGAGCGATACCGTCGCGCGACGATTTCATTCCGCCTAAGAAATTCCGCGCGTGCCTCGCGTGTAACAATCCGCAACTGGATTACAGGAGGTCAGGCACAAATTAGCCGGTCGAAACGCTCGCTCCCGGGTGATGTACAGACCGGCATCCAGCGATTATGCGCCGGATACGTCATAACTCTTGTTGATTCCGGTGTTTCGCCTATGTGGCGACGATTACCACTTCCGGATCCGATTCTGCGGCACGTAATTTGCCTCTCGAATTAACGCGATCGATGCGAGCGCGTTACAGTAGGAAACACGGTGGATTCCTCGGGTGTTCTTGGAATTGAAGCGCTTGAAGCTGCAGATGCGATTTTAGAGTAGAATTATCGCTGTTTCGGTGATAAAATCTTCTTGCTATATCGAGAGTAAAATTGAAATTTTCAATTTTTAGCGAAGTAGAACCTTGGTCTCGCGGAAGAAACGTAGATCTGCTTGAAAGTCGAATTATGCGTTGGGATTGGAATGATTGAAGAGGAATAGAGATTGCAAGGAGCGATTTACCATAGAATAACGTTCCGCCGCTGCTTGATTCCTTTCCCGGTTTGATTAACGACGAGACCGCCGGTTGACAAAGAAAAATTACTTTTACAGGCCTGGGCAGGACCGGTGTTCTCATCGCGTGCTACCTCATTTACAGTCTTCGTGTGCGGGCGAACGACGCGATTAGGTTCGTCCGCATGAAACGGCCGTCCGCGATACAGACGCGGGGACAGATACTCTGTATCCAGGAGTTCGAGCACTTCGTTCTTCCCCAGATGATAGTGTTCCCTTTGAGCAGCGCTATAGGGGATCGGAAACCTTGCAGTCTCCAATCGCACCTGAAGAAGCAGCACAACGTACTGCACGGCTACGAGCAGCGTACCTTCAAACACATTCCAAAGGTTCTCAGAACTTCACTTTATTGCGAAATAATAGGAGACTTTGCTTGCGCATGGAAATACAGATATTCAGAATTGTTCTTGCCAGTTGAACTCAAACGAAAGGGAAGCGTCCTTAACCAATTAACTGTGTTTGACGAGTATACACATCTTAAAGCTCTTAATGGTGCTAACTTTCTCAACGACGGATTATTTATTTTTTGAGACAAACATGTAATCATTCTTCGTTTTGCTTCAGTTTTTCGTTAGGATATATTTTAAGAGAGAGAGATTTTTCAAACGAAGTTCCACACTTAACTGGTTAAATTCGATCAATCTTTCGAGGTTTAACGATAAGAGGAAGATTGATAGTTTCCGTACGACATAACGTGTGAAATAAATTTCTTCTGGTTCACTGGACGATTCTGCAGATAGTCTTCACAATTTGCGAGAGAATCCTCCAGCTCTGCGACTGCCAGGAGGACAATTCGCCCTGCGAAATTAAATTCGAGGTGTCCAGCGCGTCTTTCACGCATCGGTTCATATCGCACGTGTTGGAGAAGCTGCGGGACAGCAAGGGGAACATCAGGCACTCTTATTCGTGGGCTGAGTCGCTCGCCGACTCGTCTCTAGATTTCTCCAGTAAGAGAAACGGAGATACGCAACGAACAAACCTATTCTCTCGAGAATTATAAACAAATCTTCCGCAATGGTCTCTTAGGTTCCGCGAAAGCCTGCGCGAGTGGCAGCCAGGCGTCTTCGAGGGGCACTTCCGACGACATTGGACGACTGAGCGACGTGTTCTGCACCTCTCCGGATACTCCATCTTGCGACTCCACCTTCCCAGGTGACTGCACCTGCAAAAGAATCGGTATGTTAGTAAAAAGGCACTTTCAATAGACCGATGTTCCACAGGTCTCGATGACAACTGCGTGGACGACGTCCTCGGCGACGGGATCCACTGTCAGGATCTCATCGATAACGATTGCTACAAGGAGATCCAGTCGCATATAGATCTGAAGGCTGCTGCTCAGAACGCAGCCTTCGAAAGCGTGAGCACGGAGGAAGCCATCAGAGCTTTGATCAGGGACAACGCAACGTTGCCTGATAAGACGAAGAAACGTTTGCAGAATTACCAGGTGTTTAAACGAACTGAAATTCACCTGTAAATCCTAGTTAGTTTGGTACATTGCGTAGATACGATCTTTAACCAGTCAACTGTGTTCGACGAGTATACACGTCATCGTAAAGCTTGCCATGATACTAATTCTTTCAACGATGAATTCTTTGTTTTTCGCATGAAGATGTAATTCTTCTTTGTTCCGCTTTGATCTTTCATTGAAATATATTCTACGTGCATCTATCCTGCGTTCGACGAGTACACGCTCCATTTTTCGATTTTATTGCGCGCAGAACGAGAGGTTTTCCCAACTGAATTCCACAGTTAACTGGTTAAAAACTCTGTAACAGTTCACAGTAAAATTATGGAATACTTTTTGTTATGGAAGTTATGGAAGAATAAGAATAAAGATGCGTCAATTTATATTTCCAGGCGGATCTGAACAACAGATCGACAGCCTGGCAAAGGCTGCAGCTGGAGACCGACCTAGACGTCTTGTCAGGACTGCTGTTCGAATGGCTGGAGACGTTGAAGCGACCGTTGCTCGACATAGACAGTCTAAGTTACATCGTCGTCTGGAACTCGAGGCCTCAGCGATGCCTCGAGAAGTTGCCGGCCTGCAACAGATACCTGTTAGAGTATCTCCTTCGATTCATCACTCGACTGAGGCCGATGACAGCCGAGAGCCAGAGTTTGCTAACGAAACGCTTCATGGCCACCCTCACGCAACAGAGTATCTGGATCAAGAGTGCCTTCTATCCTTCCAGTAAACACGAATTTCTTAAACGACAGACGAGAGCAGCGTACACTAAGGAGTGATATACTTTTTTTGATTGAGCTTATAGCTGCCTGAAACTAGAGTATAGACTAATGATCGAATGGTTCTGAACTGTCATAGCCCGTCGTGAATATTCCTCGGTCGTTCTATAATTAATAAGAATTTCTCCACACGAGTCGCGTCGCGTCTATGTGCCTCGTCGGTGCACGACACACGGGCGATCGCCAGAAATATCGATTCACGTTGTATCGTTCTATTAATATTGTCTTGAATCGCGTGTCCGTGTATTGCCACTCTATCCTGCCTCTACGTCCATCTTGAATTATTTACCCCCGGTTTGGACAGCGAGTCGCTTTCTCGTTGCAGATAAGAATTTCCATAAGCTCCGCCGGGGGACCGCGGCGAAGCTCAACGAATTTTTCATCAGGCTGATGAACCTGATCGAGGAGGTGAACACGCAGGAAACGGAGAAACCCTCGTGGACGTCCAAATGGGAATTGGTGTCCAACCAATTGGGGCAAATCGACACGAAGGACGAGCAGGCGATTTGCTCCGATTAGAGGACACCTCGTGTCACGAAGGTTGTAGAGATTAAGTTTCGCTCGAGGATAACGGAGAGCAGTCTGTGCTCGGAGTATTTATTTTTACAGTAATCGAATGTTGTCTCGTTCGTGTCGCGTATATTCCAGGCTATCTTGTAATTGAATAAAAGAAAGTATTTTAGTAGTAACAAGTACCCGGCGTTTCATTCGAGATATTCTTTTAGGTTTCCGCGGGATGATTGAAATAACGATCGAGCGATTCGGAATGATAATGGATTGTTGTACCTTCGATTGATACCAGAAGTTTCTGCTTTATCACGACGTGGTACTATATCGATTAGAGATAAAGAGATTTTGCTATTGTCGACCGACAGTATCGTTCATCGACGAATGGTAACCGAGGGAATAAATTATTGGCCAGTTTGTTTTTGTAGCGAATACATGATCATATTTTGACGAACTTTGTTCCAGTAGATTGTCGAACGATTGTAATTGTCGATTAAGAATTTGAATTAAGAAGAACTGTCTAGAGAATATGGATGTCTCAAGGAAAGAATCGAATCGTTTGCAGTTCTTTTATTAAATATGACAAACAAAGGAGTTCGGAAACAAACAAGTTTAGACAGCTTTGGATCCTCAAATATGTTCACGAATTGCTGTTTTTATTATCTTTTCAAGACGGTTCTATTAGATAAAGACTTATATCTAGTGCTTAATTCGAGCTAGAAAATGCGATTCCTTAATTCCTCTATGTACAGTATGATATAAGTCCTTTCCTTTCTCGTTCTAAACACATTTATATACGTTAAACACATAGATTTTTACGTGTATAAATTCATGTCGTACCTAACAGGATCGTATTTCTCTTCTTCTCTCATCCTTTACCTCCGTTTCCCATTTCTTTAAGCGTTATACAAACGATGTCAGTCTTATACAAAGAAAGTACAGTGAAAATTATATAGCTCTCTCGACGTTACTTACAATTATGCTACTTAAATTCGATCATCAAGAAAACCGCTCTAGCTCCTCCCCGCCACCTTTTTTCCGCCGGCGTGAAAAAAAGGTACGATGAAACAGCTCAAACGTGGTTGGTTTTTCTTTTAGTAACACATTTAATTTTTCTTGGTAAAATCGGTACATTTTTACAAGGCAACTTATCATACAATACTTAATAAAATAATCCAGACGATAAAGGTTCTAGGAATTTTCGTCGAATTAATCCTAAGAGCTCGGATCGCATTCAAGAACTTCCTCGTTTCTTGTTCGGATTTGTTTC